TACTCTATGCTACTGTTTAACGTACGAAGAAAAAGTTAATATTAAGTTTATTATTGTTATGTAAATAAATTTAATTATATTATTAATAAATTAAAAGTTAAAATTTATTTATTTTTATAAAAATTTATGATAAAAATCAAGTTAGAGAAGCCAATATACAATTTTTTTTATGGAACAATAATTACAATTCGATTAACTTGATATTTTTAAAATTAAATGAAAAAAATGAAATTAATGAAAAAAAACTCAACCGGTGATGATGAACTTGTTCATCTTCTCAGGCGAAGTCAAGTTCAGGCATGGTTTCCCTTGGAAATCCAAGCTCCAAACCATTCACATCCCATGTCTGCAAATTAACAACAAAATTAAAGAACCGTTCTCTCCACTTCTGGGTACTCAAATTCCCACCAAAAACATCACTATCCCTTTACACATACATCGAAATCCGCGAAAACGAAGAAGAATTCTTACATGAATTCTGGATCTCCGGCAATACCATTCATAATCTAATCAAATAACAACACAAAACCCAATTCAACCAAAATTACAAGAAAAAAAAAAACAGAAACTAAAATTCAACAACAAGCAAGCAATTAAAAAACAGGGGAACCCAGATTTGGGGGCTCCCGTGAGATCACATCAGGTTGAGTTCTTTAGGACAAACCATATCTCTCTGAGAACAATCAATCTGGGTTTGGAGAACCCAACGGTAATGGATATTTGAAGAAGGTGGTACTCGTGAGCTTGAAGAAGAAAGAGAGGACCCAAATCTGGCGGAAGAGGATAAGAGAGAAAAGGGCAAGCGATGTCTGAGGAAGAAAACAAGGGGACGAGGGCAATGTCAGTTCATTTGTTATTTTATTCAAGTTGGACTAAACGAAGAATATTCAAAGAAGTTTTTTTTTTTTTTTTGAACAATATTATCATGGGTGAGCTAAAACCCGTTCAAGGAGAAGGGACGGGAGGTGCACCTCAAGGCGGTGAAAGGCGACCTGGTCCGAAGGGACAGGTGAATTCAAAGAAGTTTAGTGTCAAAATGAGACCAAATCAAAAATTAAATCATGGGTTTATGAAAAATATAACCTTCGCTTATGTCAGCAAAAGGAAGAAGAATATCTTTGGGTTTTAAAGTATTTTAGGTTTTAATGGCAATAAAATTTAATAAATAAATATTAAATCAAAATAAAAATACTTGAATAAATACTTTAGATTCAATAGTTTATCGTCAAATTTTAATTGATTCAAAATTTAACTCTTAACAGCTCTAAAAATTCTCCATTCCCCTATAATTTCCCATGTTAACAAAAAAAAAAAAGTCAAACAATCATACATAAGTGGCATGGACATTAAAATTTTTAACCTAACTAAAGCTTTTTTTTTTTTTTTGGAAACTTTAGGCCTTAGGGCATTTTGGGTCTCAATGGCAACAAAACATAATAAGTATTAATAAGTACTGATTTAATAAGTATTGATAAATATTGATATATGGATGCAGCAACCCTAAATTATTAATATTTATTCAAATAGAAATGGATTTAGGCAAATAAATTGATAAGATAATTATTGAAATTCAAGTTTCAATTAATAAGAAGAAAAGATAACATAAACCGAAGATATTGATTTTAGAAACGAAAATTCAAGTTTCAATTGAATTAGCAGATGAGATTGAGACAAATGATGATAATAGTTGAATAAAAAAAAAAAAAAAAGAGACTACCATGGAATGCTTGAAAGCCAAAAAAATAATGAATCTAAATTTGAATAATAAAATTCTTTGGATAAATTTTTCAATTTTAAAATAAAAAACTCAAATAATCATTAAAAAGTGACATGAATATTAAAAGATATTTCAATCCGACTAAAGTTTTTTTTTTTTGTAGTCTTTAAATCTTAAAGCATTTTG